CTCCCTCTGGCCCCGCCCCGCCCCCTCCGGCCCCGCCCCGTTCTCCTCCCTTGACCTTGTGGGCAGCTTGGGCTGGTGAATCTGGGCCTGATCTCACCTCCCCCTCCCCCGTGCCGAGAGCCTCAGGTTCATTCCCCTCCCCCTCCCAAGAAGCAGCCCCCTAAGTTGGCGTTGGAGGAGGACCTCGTTCACCCCTGTGGCTTCAGGCCTGCTTGGACACTAGCTGGACAGCTGTCCAGAGAGGGACAGTCCACTCCCTGCAGTTACACAGCAGTGGAGCTGAGCAGTATCCGCAGCTTCTGAGCGGCCCTAGGCCCCATGAAAGCTGGACATTGGTGCTTGTCTTTGTAGGAAAAAGAAGGATCCGCAAGGTTTTGGGGAGGAGTCGAAGGAGCCGAGCACAGGTAGGGTTTTCTTCCCGGACCCTGGACTTGTACAGTCTACATCAAAGGGCAACTTCCTTCCCCCCACGTCATCCCCACATTTCCCTTTTTCTTTCTTGTGCCCATCCTGGGGCTTGAACTCAGGGCTTGGGTGCTGTCCTGAGTTTCTTGTATGCCAGGCTAGCACTCTACCACTTAGCCCCAGCTCCACGTACAGCTTTATTTTGGGTGGAAGGGGGAGGTAACTTATTGGAGGTAAGTCCCACAGACATTTTTGCCCAGGCTGGGTTTGAACTGTGATCCTCAGATCTCAAACCTTTTTTTGTTGCTTTGTTGTTGTTGGTGGTGGTTGGGCTTGAACTCAGGGCTCGGGTGTTGTCCCTGAGCTTCCTTTGCTCAAGGCTAGCACTCTACCACTTGAGCCACAATGAGTGCCACTTTTGGCTTTTTCTGTGTATGTGGTTCTGATGAACCGAACCCAGGGTTTCATGCATGCAGGTCAAGAATTCTACCACTAAGCCATCTTTCCAGCCTGCCTATCTTTTTCATTGATTGAGATGGGAGTCTCACAGACTTTTTTTTTTTGCCCAGAGTGGTCTGGAACCACATGCTTTCAATCTTCTCCTGAATGGCTAGAATTAGGCATGAGAGCCTTGCCCTGGAATTCACTGTTTAGGCCAAGCTGGTCTCAAACTTGAGATCCTCTTACCTTAGGCTGCCGGGTGGGGGGACTGCAGGTGTGTCCTTGTGTCACCACAAGGCCATCTTTGAGGGAATTTGGTTTTGGTGGTATTGGGGATTGAACTCCCCCCAGCTCTGGAGATGGAGGTCTGAATCAGTTGGTGGGTGATCTGACCATGCATTCTGTGTGTTCATTCAGGCGGCTCTGCCCATTGGCCACAGCTCTTCTGGATTTTAATCTCCTGTTAGCTGGGATGACAGGCGTGTCTAACCATGCTCAGCTGGTTGTTGAGAATGGATCTTGTCAGCTTTTCTGTGACAGCTGGCCTTAAACCTAGATCCTCCTGCTCTCAGCCTTCCAAGTAGCACGATAATAGGTGTGAGCTGCCATGCTGGCTTCTCTCTGGCCTGTTTTTTTTTCCTGTTGGTCATAGGGCTTGGACTCAGGGCCTGGGCACTGGGTCCTGTCTCTGAATTTTAGTTTTCAAGGCTAGCGCTCTATTGCTTTGAGCCAAAGTTCCACTTCTAGTCTGGTGGTTTATTGGAAATAAGAGTGTCGTGGACTTTTCTGCCTGGGCTAGCTTTGAACAATGATCCTCAGATCTCAACCTCCTGAGTAGCTGCGATTATAGGCGTGAGCCACTGGTGACCAGCTTCTCTGGCCTCTTAATATACTGGATTACCGCCCCCCCCCCCAAGTGGGGCTTAGATCCTGACATCAGAGGAGGCCAGACAGAATTATCCTCAAAGCATGCTTTCTGCTTGAATTGCTCGAAATAGAGATGCTTTTTTTTTGCCCCGGGGGGTGGGGGAGGGAGGGCAGTTGTGGGGGTAGGGGTGTGTGACATGGATGTTGTGGCTGAATCCCAGGTTCTGTGTGTGCTAAGTAAGTTAGGATTCTACCACTGAGCTACAACTTAAGCCAAGAGTGACTGTTTTCCCATGTTTGGGGTTAAAGTCCCTGGACAGACTCTCATTGGACAGACTTAAATCACATGCTCCTTTCTGAGCCAGTCAGAGGCTGCAGAGCCTGGTATTGCTAGGGGATTGGTCGGTGGCCGGTCCAGTGGGGAGGGCAGAAACCACAGTAGCTGCAGTGGCTGCGGTGGGCTGGTGACCTTTGTAATGGAGAAGTGGTTTTTGGCTTTCCAGGCGACAACATCCGGGAGTTCCTGCTGAGCCTCCGATACTTCCGGATCTTCATCGCCCTGTGGAACGTGTTCATGATGTTCTGCATGATCGTGTACGTGGGTCCCTCCCTCGGCCCTCTTTCAGACCAGCCCCTGCTGGTCATCCTCTATCCTGCCGAGTACACTTGGGAGCTCTTGCTTTCTGCTTCCATTAAAAACTCTCCAAGCTAGTGGGGAGCCTGGGGTGGAGGTGGAGCACGAAACCACGTGGCAGTGCCCAGCGGTGTGCCCAGCCCTGCCCCGCGCCCAGGGCTCTCCCTTCTCCCCACCTCTGTGCTCAGCCTGCGCCTGTGCTCAGTCAGGTGGAAAGGTGAGGCACGTGGCCTGCAGCCATGCCAGTAGGTGGCAGATCTGTTGCTGTGCTTGTGCCTCCTTCATTTTCTCACGAGGCTAAAAAATGCCCAGGTGGTTGCTTTACCACTGCAGCCCCGCCATTGGCCCTGCTTTTTGCGGGTTAATTGGAGATGATGTCTGAGGCTTCCGCCTTGGCTGGCTTTCAACCTCCTCCAGGTCGCAGCGCCTCAGAAACTAGGATTACAGGCGCGACCCACCTGCAGCGGCTAGTTTTGCTGCAGTTTGAGTTTTTATAGCTGGCATGAGATGGGGGCCAGCTTCATTTCTTTGCAGGTGGAGATTCAGTTGTTCCTGAAGCTGTGTTCTTTTTTTTTGTGTGTGTGTGCTGGTCCAGGGGCTTGAACTCAGGGCCAAGGCTCTGTCCCTGTACTATCGTTTATGGCAAGCGCTCTGCTGCTTGAGCCACAGCTCCACTTCTGTTTTTCTGGTGGTGAATTGGAGATCAGAGCCTCAGACTTTCTTGCCCTGACTGGCTTTGAACTGCGATCCTCAGATCTCAGCCTCGTTGAGTGGTTAGGATGACAGGCGTGAGCCACCAGTGCCGGGCCACATTTCTTTTTTCTTTCGGAGTAAGTTTAGATTTATGGGAATGTTACAGAGATGATTCAGGATGTTCCCATTTTGGGGGAAGGGGTCACTGCTGGGGTCTCACACTTAGGGCTTCCTGTGTTGTGACTCTGTGCTGTCTCCAGATAGGACAGATACTGGTCCTGTCTTCTGGGTTTTTTCCAATGAATAGATCTTTGTTTAGTCAAACACTTTTTTTTTTGCCAGGTGTCAGTGCCTCATGAGTGTAAGTTTAGGTGCTTGGGAGGGTGAGCTGGGGAGATCCTGGTTCAAGGCCAGTCCCCGCACACAGTTCACGGGACACCAACTCAACAGTAGCAGCGTGTGTTAGTAGATGCCCATCATCCTGACCACAGCTGGACGCATTAAAGTCAGAGGATTGAGGACCTGGCTGGCTGGGCAACGAATAAACCTGGCTCCAGTGTAACCAGAGGCCAAAGCGCTGAGCATGTGGCTACAGTGGTAGGCCACCTGAGGACCCAAGTTCAACACCCCCCCCCAAAAAAAAAATCTTTTAGTAATGAGATCTACCGCAGGTGCAGGAATGAAAACAGGGGCTGAGATAAAGATTGCTGGGAAGGGTTCAGCCCTGGGTCTGGAGGGGTTTGGATCCAGGACCCCATCCGCTTGCAGCATCCCTAGATGGTTCGGTCTCTTCTCCAACATGGTCACCCGGGCCCTCCTCCTCCTCTTCTTCCCCATCTTCCTCTTCTTTTCCTCAGCTGCCCTCTCCCCTCCCCAGCGAGAGGACATGCTTGTAGATACAATCGTTATGTTGTATTACTGAGTTACTGTTCTGAAGACACTGGTTCCGGGTCCCTGGGTACAGGATGGTGTCTGCCATCTTGCCGTGCAGTGGGTCACGTGTTTTACGGGAAGGAATTCCCTGCTCTCATGGTCTTTTTTGCCCTCTGCCTTTTCCAGATTGTTCGGCTCCTGAACCTGCAGACAGAACCCAGGCCTCCCCTCCCCGGGCATTGAAGCTGCCTCCTCCCTTCCCGATGTTGACTTCCAGCAAACCAGGGACCTTCCCGGCAAGCCCAAGGTCGCGGTGGGTGGGCAGGGTCACGCGTGGCCTTGCGTGCCAGTGTGGCGTGGCTCACTGGGGTTTGGAACTGGGAAGGCTGCCTGAAGGCTTAAAGGGCTGGGCTAACATGGCAGTCCCACATGAAAGAAGGACTTCTAGAACCTTCCATCGTGGTGGACTCCTCTGGCCAGTGCTCACGTGTAACCTGCTTCCGGATATTTCCTGGTTGACTTATAATAACTACGCTTTTGGTTAGAGCTGTACAGATTTTTTATAAATCGTTTCACTCCACAGATCTGTGCTTTTTTTTGCCAGGGTTTGGCCTCTCCCACTTGAGACTCACTCCTTTCCACTTTTTGCTGGATCGTTGGAGATAAGGGTCTCCTGGGGTTTCTGTGCGTGGGCTGGTTTTGAACTAGGATCCTCAGCTCTCAGCCTCCTGTCTAGCTGGGATGACAGGTGTGAGCCCCTGGCGCCTGTCTAGCTGTATCTCTTGTTCCGAACTTTACCCGGGCGCAGGGCTGGCTGGGAGCAGGAGACTGTCTTTTGGACAGTTTATAAATAACTGTCTTGGACAGTGTTGCTCGCCGGGGACCGGGCCCAGATTCCTCCTCCAGCCCGCCCATGCCCAAGCCTTCCCGCAGCTTTCAGGAGCTTGTCACCTGTCACGGGGTGCTGCCGGGGCGCCAGGCCCTGCCGAGCTTGGCCTGGGTGAGTCTTGGAAGGACGGCAGGGACGGGAGGAGGGTAATGGGGATGGTGATTGCCTGCGGCACGGTCGGCGCTCCTGCGTGCGCTTCGTGTAGGTGATTTCCAGGGTGTGGGAAGTGGAGCGTTCAGTCCAAAAGCTTCTTTGGGGGACAGCACGCTCCGAGTCGCAGCACTGTGGGGTTGGTTGGTTGTGGTTTTTGAAATTCTGACTTGTAGCAGAGCTAAGAGCAAGGAAGCCACAGTGGGGGGTGCTAGAAATAAAGCTCATTTCTAAAACTGTTTCTGCTTAATATATATTCTAATTTAAACATGGGGGATTCTTGGGTTAGTTGGCTTTCCTGTCTCCCTCACCCTTACCCCCAAGTACCTGGGGCTATAGGAGTGCATTCCTGTGTTTGGCCCTTTGTACAGTCTTGAGGTTGGAGGTCTGATTTCAGCTTGAGACAGGGCTTCATGCCGGACCTCATGCTGGCCTTGAACTCCTGCCTCAGCCTCCCATCTAGCTGAGATTAAGTGTGTACCACTTTGCCCAGATTATCCCCCCTCCCCCAAACCAGCCACTGGAGTTTGACCTCAGAGCCACGCTTCCTAGCAGGCAGGAGCTCCGCCCCTTTCGCTTGGGGACCGATGTTTTTCCTGAGGGCTAGCCCTGGCTCATGGTCCTCTCTGCACCTCCCCTCCTGTCCAGTCTGGCCTTGTGTGTCCAGTGGCCACCAGATGTCGGCCGGTCCTCCCGCGTGAGCGGAGCTGGGGTTTATGTGAGAGATGCCCACTCTGAGGAGGGAACGGGGCCGGGGTTGGAGGTGGTGGCATTTTTCTCCTGGTGAAGCTGGATAAGCTGAGGATCCTTCACCCTGCCTCACGTCACCTCACTTGTGAGAAGAACGTCAGGCAGGGGCTGGTGTATCATGCCTGTAATCCTACTAAGTGACTCAGCAGGCTGCGATCACAGGTTTGAAGCCACCTGGAACAGGAAAGTGAGAATCCCATCTTCCAACTACCCTTCAAAAGCCGGAAGCGCCAGGTCCTGATGGCTCATGCTTGTAACCCTACTCAGGAGGCTGAAGTCTGAGGATCACAGTCCAAAGCCAGGCTGGGCAGAAAAGTCCGTGAGACTCAACTCCAACAAACCACCAGGAAGTGGCGCTGTGGCTCAAAGTGCTAAGAATGCTAGCTTAGAGCAAAAAAGCTCTGGGATAGTGCCCAGATCTGGGGTTCAAGCCCCATGACGGGAGTGGCGGGATGGACGTGGAAGGTAAAGCACCAGCTTCAAGTTTGAAAAAGCCAGGCAAGAGCATTAGGTCTTGAACTCAGGGTTTGAACTCGGGGCCTTGCATTTGTGAGGCCAGCACAACAATGCAGCCGAGTGACAATCGAACCCTGCTCTTCACTTAGGATGAAGCCTGAGCTGTCACTGCCCATTTCTATGCTTCTGTCCCTGCTGGTTGACTGGCCTGCACTGTCACACCCGACTTATTGAGATGACAGGTCTAACTTTTTGCCCAGGCTGGTCCGCAAGTGCAATCCTCCACCTTGAGTAACTGGCATTGCAGGTGTGCCCAACAGCACCTGGCCCTCCATTTCCTGTCTTTATTATGAAACGTGTCTTAACATTCATGCAGGTGGGACAGGTGCGGATTTCCCAGGGTTTGTTTTATGGAGCTAGAGCCCAGGTTTTCCCCCACACACATAGAATTGTGCTCAATTGTGGCTGTGAAACTTGACCCAGATAGAAGGTGGCCCCTGGACTTGTGTCCATGTGCGCGTGCACGCACAGACACATGCACACCCTGCCCCAATCCTGAGTCTCTTGGAGGAAGTGGGCTGAGGTGGCAAGCCCTTGTAGCACAGGGTGCGGTTTACCTGGCACACTGGGAGCGGGTCCCTGGGGGTCAAGGGCCCGCGGGAACAGCTGTGGTCAGCCCATGGGACCGGGTGCTGGGGAAGTGGTGGGTGCTGTGTGTGGGTGGTGGGCAGCCCGCGGCACGGCACAGCTGCGCCTCGTCTGTTCACACTTCCTGGCGCTGGGAGCCATGCTGTCTCTCCCCATCAGCGCGCGGCAGGGGCCCAAGTCCTGACGCCATCTCCTTACTACGCATTGCTTTTTTCTTTTCTGGTGGGTCGTGGGGCCTGAACTCGGGGCCTGGGCGCTGTTCCAGCTCTTCAGCTCAAGGTGAGTGCTCTACCACTTGAGCCACAGCGCCACTTCCGGTTTTCTGGTGGTTTATTGGAGATCAGTGTCTCAGACTTTCCTGCCTGGGCTGGCTTTGAACCATGATCCTGATTTCAGCCTCCTGAGTAGTTCAGATTACAGAAGTGAGCTACCATGTTTGGTTATCTGTGTTTGGCTGAAGTTGGGTCCAGGGAAGTGACATGTAAGGCTGCACAGAATCCTGGGTACAGGGTGTTTGCTGCTGGATGCTCTGCACCTTTCCCAGGCCGCTCTCCCCTGCTGAAGGGACAGCAGTGTATCATATGTAAATATTTTAATAAAACATTGAAGATTAACGTGTGTGCAGTGTGGTTTTATTTTGCCCGTGTCTGGGGCTTGAACCTTCAGGGCCTCGTACATACGTTCTCTGCTTTTTCTGCCCCAGGTTCTTGCTCTGCTACCTGAGCTCCATTTCTGGCTAATGGTGGTTAATTAGAGATGAGTCTCACAGACTTTCCCGGTCTGGCTTCAAATCACTATCCTCAGATTTCAGCCTTTTGAGTAGCCAGTATTACAGGCTTTTTCCCTCAGTGCCTGACTTGAGTACTAGGTTTTAATGGCTGTCTCTCACATGGGTTTTTTTTTTACCTTTTTTTTTTCTTTCTACCTCTGCCTCCAGAGTGCCGGGATTACAGGCATACACCACCACACTTGGCTGGTTTCACTTCTAAAGTGAACAGAACTACACTTATAGAGTGGAAGTAGGATTGTAAATTTGAGGATGGCCTGGCCTACTCTGTGAGTTTAGCAGCACCCTGGGCTACATAGTGAGATGCTACCTTAAAAACAAAAACAGCAATAAAATTGGAAGTCCTAAAATCAAGTAGAACTCTGAACTCCATGCTTAACCACTTTTGTTGTTGTTGTTGGTAGTGGGGCTTGAACTCTGGGCTTTTCAGCTCAAGGCTAGTGCTTTACCACTTGAGCCACAGCACCATTTCTGGCTTTTTCTGTTTATGTGGTACTGAGGAACTGAACCCAGGTCTTTATGCATACTAGGCAAGCATTCTACCACTGAGGCACATTCCCGGCCCTCATTTACTAATTTTTGTCAGTTGTGGGGCCTGAACTCAGTGACTGGGCTCTTTTGCTCAAGGGTAACTCTGAGCTATAGTGCCACTTAGGCTGAGATCTGAGGATTGAGGTTCAAAGCCAGCCTGGGCAGAAAAGTCCTCAAGACTCTTATTTCCAATTCCACCAGAAAACTGGAAGTGGCACTGTGGCTCAAGTAGTAGAAGGCTAGCCTTGAGGTGAAGAGCTCAGGGACAGCGCCCAGGCCCAGAGTTCAAACCCCACAAACGACCAAAAAAAAAAAAAAGGCTCAGACTTTCCAACCAGGGCTGGCAGATCACAACCACCAGAGTAGCAAGGATTACAGGTGTGAGCTACCAGAGCCCCTAACCTTCCCTCCTACCTCCCCCTTGGGAATGGAACGCAGGCCTTTGGGCCTCCCAAGCACATTCTACATGCCAGGCTACACCTCTCAGTGCTTAAGGCTTAACCTATCAGTTAGGTCCTTCAGGGATCAAAGACATGTTTGAGGGAATATACAAGAAAGGTGGTTTTTTTTTTTTAAACCAGCCAGCAGCGGAGAGCAGGTGACACACCCGGGTAATCCTATTATCCCAGCTCCTGCAGAGGCTAGCATAGAGAGGCCCAGCTCCCTGCCAGCCTGAGCCAGGAGGTACGACCTTGTCTTATGTCTTATAAAGAAAAACTACAAAAAAGCGAAGAAAACATAAGATTTTGTTCTCTACTTAGTGGGATCTATGATGGAGGGGTCAAGGTTAGAAACCAGTCTGGGCAGGCAAATCGGGCCAGACATTTATCTCCAGTTAACTAGCAAACTCCTCAGAACTGGAGGTGTGGCTCAAGTAGTAGAATGGAAAAAGTCAATGAGTTCAAGCTGGCACCCAAACCGAAAACAATGGATCAATACATTTCAGCCAAGACCGAGAAGGGCCAGGGGGCCGGCAGCTCATTCCAGACACGTGTTAGCAGCAACTGGGGGGCCCACCTTGGGACTCCCCACTTGCTAAAAACAGGTGCCTCCTAGGCCGCGCCTCGGCCGCTTTTGCTGTGGGTAGTTTTGCTCCAGGCTGAGTTTCTGTACACGCTGGCCTTGAACCGTGGGCCGACTGACCACAGGGATGACTGATCCGCCCGAGCCAACGCCTCAGCTTCCCTAGCTCGCGCGGCCCCAGCGCGCCAGGTTCCGCGGCCGGGACGCGAA